TGCACGACGGTCGTCCAGGCACAGCAGGCGTGGCACTTTCTCGACACCACAGGGGGTGCGCAGGGGGTGGTCTCGGCCGCTATGCACACGGCCGCTAGCACGACGGTCGTCCAGGCACAGCAGGCGTGGCACCTTCTCGACACCACAGGGGGTGCGCAGGGGGTGGTCCCTCACCGCGGCCGCTATGCACGACGGTCGTCCAGGCACAGCAGGCGTGGCACTTTCTCGACACCACAGGGGGTGCGCAGGGGGTGGTCTCTCACCGCGGCCGCTATGCCGACGGTCGTCCAGGCACAGCAGGCGTGGCACTTTCTCGACACCACAGGGGGTGCGCAGGGGGTGGTTTTCCCTATGCGCGCCAGGGTCGTCCAGGCTCGCACTTTCTCGCACGTGCGCGCCAGGGTCGTCCAGGCACAGCAGGCGTGGCACTTTCTCGACACCACAGGGGGTGCGCAGGGGGTGGTCTCTCACCGCGGCCGCTATGCACGACGGTCGTCCAGGCACAGCAGGCGTGGCACATTCTCGACACCACAGGGGGTGCGCAGGGGGTGGTCTCTCACCGCGGCCGCTATGCACGACGGTCGTCCAGGCAAGCAGGCGTGGCACTTTCTCGACACCACAGGGGGTGCGCAGGGGGTGGTCTCTCACCGCGGCCGCTATGCACGACGGTCGTCCAGGCACAGCAGGCGTGGCACATTCTCGACACCACAGGGGGTGCGCAGGGGGTGGTCTCTCACCGCGGCCGCTATGCACGACGGTCGTGCACAGCAGGCGTGGCACTTTCTCCAGGCACAGCAGGCGTGGCACTTTCTCGACACCACAGGGGGTGCGCAGGGGGTGGTCCCTCACCGCGGCCGCTATGCGCGACGGTCGCCCAGGCACAGCAGGCGTGGCACTTTCTCGACACCACAGGGGGTGCGCAGGGGGTGGTCTCTCACTGAGGTCGCTATGCACGACGGTCGTCCAGGCACAGCAGGCGTGGCACTTTCTCGACACCACAGGGGGTGCGCAGGGGGTGGTCTCTCACCGCGGCCGCTATGCACGACGGTCGTCCAGGCACAGCAGGCGTGGCACATTCTCGACACCACAGGGGTGTGCAGGGGGTGGTCTCTCACCGCGGCCGCTATGCACGACGGTCGTCCAGGCACAGCAGGCGTGGCACTTTCTCGACACCACAGGGGGTGCGCAGGGGGTGGTCTCTCACCGCTGCCGCTATGCACGACAGTCGTCCAGGCACAGCCGGCGTGGCACATTCTCGACACCACAGGGGGTGCGCAGGGGGTGGTCTCTCACCGCGGCCACTATGCACGACGGTCGTCCAGGCACAGCAGGCGTGGCACTTCCTCGACACCACAGGGGGTGCGCAGGGGGTGGTCTCTCACCGTGGCCGCTACGCACGACGGTCGTCCAGGCACAGCAGGCGTGGCACTTTCTCGACACCACAGTGTGGTCTCTCACCGCGGCCGCTATGCACGACGGTCGTCCAGGCACAGCAGGCGTGGCACTTTCTCGAAACCACAGGGGGTGCGCAGGGGGTGGTCTCTCACCGCGTGGTCTCTCACCGCGGCCGCTATGCACGATGGTCGTCCAGGCACAGCAGGCGTGGCACTTTCTCGACACCACAGGGGGTGCGCAGGGGGTGGTCTCTCACCGCGGCCGCTATGCACGACGGTCGTCCAGGCACAGCAGGCGTGGCACTTTCTCGACACCACAGGGGGTGCGCACGGGGTGGTCCCTCACCGCGGCCGCTATGCGCGACGGTCGCCCAGGCACAGCAGGCGTGGCACTTTCTCGACACCACAGGGGGTGCGCAGGGGGTGGTCTCTCACTGAGGTCGCTATGCACGACGGTCGTCCAGGCACAGCAGGCGTGGCACTTCTCTCGACGGCATAGAGGGTGCGCAGGGGGGTCGGTCTCCCAGGGCCCAGCGCGCGCGTGCCTTTTTCGAGGCTGCAGGGGCACGCAACCGGGGGGGGGGACGCTGTAGCATCATCAGCTTCATCATCATCATCATCATCATCACCATCATCATCAAAAATTGTAGCCACCCTGGCCCATGCGGGCTCAGACTGCTCGATATGTGAGCGCGGACGACTGCAGGTGATTCTCCGTCAAAGGTACGGCTACCGTCATGGCGCCCAAATGCGCAATGTCCGCGTTGCCACCGCCATGCGAGCAGCTCAAGAAAGCTATGCAAGAGATGGGCGCTGAGGTGAGCCTGGATGGTTTGCGAATATATGTTGTCTGGCATGGGAACGCCCTGGTACGCGGCGCATTTGATGCTTACCACCGACAGCTGGCAAACTGGTGGCCTGACACGCTCCTCACCAGATACAATGAGTCGCCGCGAACAAAAGGCGCCGACGATGCCAGGAGGCTTTGCCTGGCTTGGTACCTGCCGAACCCTTCATCCGGCGGGTTCCCCGCTGATCAGCCGGGAGAGTCGGATGATGGGTCGCCGTTGGCGAAAGTTCGGCGAGTCGGCGATGCTGGCGACGGGGGCGGTGCCACGCCCGCGCAGGACACGCCCATCAAGTCCACGCCCGCGCAGGCTTTCACTCCGCAGCGGTCTCCAGCACTTCAGCTTGCTACCTCTGTTCGTTCCACAGGCACCCCTCGCATTCCGCTGTCCCCTGAGCAGGCTCAGACGGACCGCCGGTGGGCCTTCGAGAATGCAAGAGCCAGGAACATGATGCTATGCACGTCGACGCCACTGGGGGTGCGCAGGCGGTGGTCCCTCACCGCGGCCGCTATTCACGACTGTCGCCCAGGGCATAATATTCGTAGCATTTTCTCGACACCACAGGGGGTGCGCAGGGGGTGGTCTCTCACCGCGGCCGCTATGCACGACAATCGTCCAGGCACAGCAGGCGTGGCACTTTCTCGACACCACAGGGGGTGCGCAGGGGGTGGTCTCTCACCGCGGCCGCTATGCACGACGGTCGTCCAGGGCATAGCAAGCGCGGCGCTTTCTCGGCGCCAGACGGGGTGCGCAGGAGGTGGTGCCTCACCGCGGCCGCTGGCTGGCTCGAATCCGTCCTCGATGGAGGATAGAAGGCTAGGAAGAGGGAGGAGGTTCAAGCACTATGGCGTTGGATGACACATAAGGGAGCATTCGCGACGAGGGCCCAGAACGCAGAATTGCGCATATACTATAAACTTCAGCAGACACATAAGATTTAAATTAAATATGTGGGGTTCCTCGGTAGCGTAATTCGCTTCTCGCGTTTTCGAGCTTCCAATGGTCCAAGAGCGCCGAAGAGGCTCCCAAGACCGACCCAAGAACGACCCAAGAGCACCCAAGAGACCCTCAGGACGGCCCCGAGACGAGCCAAGAAGGCTCCAAGACTGTCGAAGAGGCGCCCAGGACAGCCCCGGACTACCCCAGAACAGGCCCAAAATGGGCCCAAGAGCGGGAACAGGAGGCTTCCAGCGATTTCCGAGAGGCCTCCGGGACCCCCCAAAGGCCCCCAACACACCCCCGATCCTTGAGAGGCCCCAAAAAGACCCCGACGAGGCTCCGAGAACAGCCCAAGAGAGCTGCGAGAGCCGTCCCGAGAGAGCCCAAAGAGGGTAACATCGTTGATTTGTCATTGGTTTTTCTAATGTTTTTCGCCTTCTGACGTTTTCCCGCTTTCAACCCTCGATGATCGAGGATTCCTTCGGGAAAGAAGGGAATTCCCAGAATTCCAGTTTCTTCGCAGTGGGACTCTGACTCGGAGATCCCGCACATCCCCTGACATCTGGCCGGTACCGCGCCTCCCGGCTTCCCGGAGGGCCCCCAAGACGCCCAATGACAGCCCAAGACGACCCCAAGGAGCCCCCAGAACGTAAAAAACGTCCCAACACGCTCCCGCGCAGCCCGAGACACCCTTCCGACGGCTCTCCAGGCCTCCAGGAGACAACCAGAACCCCCAGATGGTCCGGATGATCTCACACCCCTGAGGGGCCCGGCTAACAAAACCCGCGAGGCACAACCAAAAAACAGCGCCAAACAGCGTCGAGGAATTGGAGAAAAATGTAAATCCAACATTTTTGTTTATATTTTTTTTCAAGTTTGGCCCCCGGTCTACTCTTGCACAACAGACCACAATTCAGACCCCTTCACCTCCCCAAAAAAGCCAAGGAAGCTTTTGAGGGCCCCAAATCGTGGAATACTTAAAGGGAATTCAGTAATGATTTTTGCGTTTCCGCACTTCCCCTTCTTTTCGATTCCGAGGCTTGCGCAGGGCCTCCAAGGAATTCCCTGGACGCAGGAAGCGACCAAAATGAGATTACATGAGTTGGCCGATCAAGCCTGGCTAGAACTTGAGCGCGCGCGAAGCGCGCGCGATGGTTCTAGTATGTATGTATGTATGTTTGTATGTATGTATGTTTGTATGTATGTACCTATACGACCACCCTGCGGGTGATAAGGAGGTTGTGGGGGGGGTGGGGGGAGGGGGTGGCTCATGACGACAACTGTGATGAACGTGGTGCTGATGGGCGATGATGCTGTGGATGACGTGGCGGATTTTTGTTTGTTCCTTCGCTTGGGCGACTTGTGTAGCAACCGGCGGACAACCGACGGGACAACGTGGCCTACCGCTTGACAAGGCCGGGGGGGCGGGAAACATTTGTGTTGGCGGACCCCTAGCGACAGCAGGGTGAATTCCTCTCGCTGGCCCACGCAGCTTCGCCTCGCCCGCACGCACGGCACGAGCACGAACTCGAAACTCGATTTCCCGGTGGGGGGACTCCGTTACATTGCGATCTCACCCCCCCAACCTCCGATATATGTATGTACGATGTATGTCGTCAGTACGTATGTATGTATCACCAGGCGACACGATTCGGCAGAGAGCGGGCGGGCAACCAACGAATCACAAACACAACGCAGACGACCCAGCAACGAGAGAGAGACGTGGCTACCAGGCCAGCAGCAAAGCGAGCAGGCCACGAGGCCAGCAGATCAACAAGCAAGCAGATCTTGCATGCGATCATCCGCGGGCCAGCCCTAGTCAGCTACAACGCTGGGATCAGTGCTTGCAAGGAGGGTGTGCAGTGGCAGCGGGCTTTGGCACTGCTCGGCGAGATGCGGGAGGCGAAGCTGGAGCCAACCGTCATCAGCTACGGCGCTGGGATCAGTGCGTGCGAAGAGGGCGAACAGTGGCAGCGGGCTTTGGGTTTGCTCCGCGAGATGCGGGAGGGAAATATGCAGCCCGACGTTGTACATTCTACATTGTAGTGCCCCGTGCGTGCGAGAAGGGTGTGTGCATCAACTTCCCCTTCGCGGCCCCTTTCGGCTCCCAGGGGCCTTCGATCAGGCACGTGCGCTTCCGTTGAGACGCCCAAGTGCCACCAAGATTGCCCAAGGTAGCCTTCGGGAGGGCCCGAGATGGCCAACGTAGGCTGCAAGAGCCACCAAAACGTACCACCGAGGCTACAAGATGCCTCCCAGGAGCCGTCTAGCACGCAAGTGGGAAGCACAACCGTTCCAAAACATTTGATCGTCAACGTGTTAGGTCTCTGGTAATTCTCGCCGCCAGACAAGGCTGCTTCGGAAGAGCCTTTTCGGATTTACTTGGGCCGTCTTGGTGTTCTCATTGGGCGCCCTTCGGGCCTCTTGAGCCGCCTTGGGAGCTAATTCGGGGCGTCCTGGACCGTCCAGAGGGCCCCAAGACGGGCCAAGACGGCCCAAGATGCTACGTCGCCCCAAAGGCAGCCCAATGCCGACACCGCCCAGACACCCCAGACGGCCCCCAAAGCCGGGAAGATTGCCCCAACGCGCCCCCGGATGGCCCTCAGTGCGCTCCCAGGCGACCCCCAGACCCCCAAAGGGAGCTCAGCGACGTCCCCGCAGACCCCAGGATTGGTTCCGAAAAGCACCGAAGGATGGCCCCACGGGATGCCCAAGAGGGTGGTGGGCTGGCTTCAAGGAGCTCCCCCTGCTCGCTCCCCGCGCCGCGCCCATTGCGCGGCGTTCCTCGCCAACCTCTCCTTGCTCACTCGCTCACTGCTTCTCGCTTCTCGCTCCTCCTCGTTCAGCTCTGCTGGCCCATCGCTCCTCCCTCTTGGCAGGTCCTCCCTCCTTCTCGACGTTCCGTCCCTAATCGCCTCTCTCTCTTCGCGGCGATCTTTATCGATCGCCCCCCGCTTCTCCGTCCTCTGGGTTTAATCCACACTTCTCGCTCCTTGTTCCTCGCTCCTCGACCCTCTCATGAGCAGCAGATTGCGAGAATATGCAGACATAGCGACAAGCAGTACCCTGCAGCAACACGTCAAGCGGTACGACCAAGCAGCAGCAGCACGTGTCACGAACAGGCAGCGGAGCAACAGCGGCAGCACACAGCAGCAGTAAGCATCAGCGGGAGGCAGCAGTTAACATCACCCTGCAGCGGCACGTAGCAAGCTCGACTGGCAACCAGCAGCGCCCTGCAGCCACTAGCAGCAGCAACAAACAGCACCCGCAAGTATTACACACAGCACGCATCAGTGGCAACAAGTAGCAGCACGAAGGTAGCAGGCACACAGCATCAATCAGCACAACGCAGCAGAAGCAGCAACACGGATCAGCGCCACGCCGCGTCGAGAAGCAACATGGAAGACAAGCAACAGCCCGCAGCGTGAAGGAATAGAGCAGGAATAATGTTGAGATGCTGTGTCGCAGCAGGCAGCACCGAGAATCAGCAAGCGGCTGGACACGGCGGCGATAGGATGGGCAAGCAATGAAGCGAGTAACATTCAAAGCAGGGGATTTGGCCAACAGCTATCAGATCGACAAGCCATCAACGCATGCAAGCAGAACAGACAGCAGTTGAGCATGCAGGTAATTGAACAAGCGATCTTCGCTCGTGCGTGCGATGTTTCAGCTGTCGTGCGCAGTATTCTGCAGGTCAGCCCTAGAGGGCCGAGGAGCTTGAGAGACCCCCCGAGGCTGCCCAAGAGGGCCCCGAGAGGGCCCAAGGGATCCCCCAAAACAGCCCAAGGGGACCGCGCAAGGGTGCCAAATAGCCCCCCAAGAGGGCCCACCGAGGTCTCCAAGACGGTCCAAGCCGCAAAGCAGGGCCCGCACGCGGCCGGCGTCGCAGAAAGCTCTTACCACAAACGGCTCCGTCGGGCGAGTGCCGATGCCTAGAGCTTCCAGACATCGACTCCTCGAGCTTCCAACCCACCGCCCTTCCCAAATTGGCGAAGTTTGTGAATAATCGGCCCTGGGGCCCTGGGTAGGTGTATCCGAACGGGTCTCTCACCCCAGATCGACGTTTGACGGCCTCTGAGCCCGAAAACAGTCCGCAGAGGTTTGAAAGGAAGAAGAACCCTTCGAATCTTGACCTTCAACCCAGAGCTCTGACTTCGTGTCGCCGGGCAGCCAGCAGCGACACGCAGTAACACTCAGTAGCAATGCGAGGGCCGAGCCTCGCGTTTTCACTTTCAGCCTTTCGGCCGCCTGTCCACCACCGCGTGCCACTTCGTGCAGATTTCGTGGACGTCGTCCACGGGCCAGCCCGTGGCCACCGCGGCGGCGTCTACCGACGGCGTCATCACTCGCGCCGGCGCGGGTCCTCCGCAGCATCTCCGCAGGCCAGGCTCCGTGGGCCGCGCTCGTGCTCGCCATCGAGCCGGGGCGCGGGCCGCCGAGACACGCCGCGGGAGGGCGATGCCGCGGAGGAGAAGGGTGCGGAAGGGCACGGCCGGGGGGGACCCCTCGATACCCATTGCCGGCGTCGCCTACGCGATCATCTCTGACGCCTCCGTCTCGGGCGGCGCTACAGTCAACGCGCCTAGTAAGGACGCGCGCCTTCATCTAGGATACCCTTGCGCCCTTGCCTCTGTGGCCCGTCCTTTGCCGTTTTCACTGGTCGCCGCCGCCCAAAAACAATCCCAACTTCAGCCTCCAAGGGTCTTGCGTCCTTACCACGCGTCCTTACTATACGTTTTCACTGTATCTCCGCATTGCCGAAGGCTCCAGCGCACCCCAGCACGACCCCCAGATGCAGCTGCAGCAGAGTCAGCAGCGGCGCCATGAGCAGCGCACATCAGCAGAAGCCAGCACTAGCAGGCAGCAACAGCCTTCGCCAGTAAGCAGCGTCGCCGAGCAGCAGCAACGCAGCAGCACCAATAAGCGTTCATATCACCTGCGCCAAGCAGCACGCATCAAACAGCAATAGCCAGCATCAAACAATAGCAATCAGCAGCAGCAAACCGCAGCCAGCAGGTGCCAGCACCACTCTACAGTTGGCAGCAGCAGAACCGATGAACAGCAAACGGCAGTGGGTAGCAGCAAGCAGCGCTAAGCAATAGCAGCCCGCAGCAAGTGTGAGCAAGTTGATGGAGCAAACACCCACGAAATAGCGCCAGCAGGCCATCATACAAGCAGACACGCATGCAAGCAATATGTATGATCCGCATGCTAGCAGCCACGCAAACAGAACTATCAGCAAGCACCCTCAGCCTCCGCTAGCAGGCAGCAGCGGCAAGAACAAGTAAATATTGTAGCGGCAGCACGCATTGAGAGCACCAGCGGCGGACAGCAAACAGCAGCAACAAACAGCAGCAAGCAGTCGCCTGCACCGGTTAAGAGACAGTTGCAGCAGAAGCTCCTAGCAGCGGCAAAGGACACCAAGAAGGACCAAACATTAGCAAGCGAGCAGGCAAGCCGGATACCAGACAGTCTGACCAGCATGCAAGCAGGAACTCTGGGGAGTAAGTTGTTCGGCCAGCAGGGTAGCAGCCACGCGCGCAAGACAGCGCGAAAGAAGGCAGGCAGGCAGGCGATCCGAACCTTTGCATGCGACTAAGCTATCGTGGACGTAAGTCCACGGGACAACCCTAGTCAGCTACAGCGCTGGGATCAGCGCGTGCGAGAAGAGCGAGCAGTGGCAGCGGGCTATGGCGCTGCTCAGTGAGATGTGGGAGGCGAAGCTGCAGACCAACGTCACCTTCCACACTACTGGTTGCAGCGCGTGCGAAATCCGCGAGTTTCCTCCAGCCTCGAGCTGGCCAAGTCGGGTCCCAAAACGCGCCCAGAGGCACACATGGTGGCCGGCGCCGAAGACGGTCCAAGTTCTCCTCGAGGGGGCGCCACGATGCCCCAGGCAGCCAAGAACATCGCAGTTGGCGCGGCTTTCGCCCAAGACAGTCCATGATGGCTTCCAGAGAGCGCATGCTGGTGCTCAGACGGCCCAGTAGGGCTCAAGGACGGCCCAAGAGGGCTCCAAGAGGCTCCCGAAGAGAGCCCCAAGCGGCCAGACTCATTTATTCTCATATGGCTTTGAAAGTATTTTGATTGTCTTTCCTTTTCGGGCTTCCGAAGCTCCTAGAGGACCCACGAGGCCCCCAGTATCGTTCCAAGACGGCCCAACAGTCCCCCAAGTGGGCCCCCAGGCAGTCCAAGAGGGCCCCAAGACGGCTTCAGAGGCCCCCAAGACATCCCATGTCGGCGAAGCCCCAGGAGGCTTTCAATCAGCCCTCGCGAATACTAAGCCCGCGGTTGTCAGGGGTGGCAGGCGCCCCCTGAGGCCCTGGCGAGAACTTGGAGGCCACGTATGGCTGTCCCGACGGGTGGCTTCCATGTCGAACCCCTCCCCGCCTCGAACGCCGCTTTGCGAGCATACGTTAGGGCAGCGGAGGGGGGCGGCTACGAATGCAACAAAAACAAAAAAACAAAAAGGAAGGGGGCGGGAGAGGAGGACCAGGAAGAGGGAGGAGGGAGGAGAGGAGGGAGGAATGAGGAGGAGGAGGAATAGGGAAATAGGTTGTGAGCTCATCCATGGGTTCCCCCCTCTATTTGCCCTCCGCGTCCTTCTCCTCCCCATCCTCCCGATTCTCTCATCCGTTGCCTCATGCTCGTTACCTTTCTCGTTGTAACCTCTTTCTCTGTTGCCTCCTTCTCCCTCCAAACCTCTGTCCTCGTTGTCTCTAGCTACTCGTATCGTTCTCCACCCTTGACGGCCACCCAGTCTACTCCACTCTAGTCTGTAGTCTACTCTACTCCACTGCGTTACCCGCTACCCGCCCATATTGCTGGATTCGGCTCGGTTCGTTCGGGGCCACAGCACAAGCCCCGCCATTTGCTCCGTGGCTCTGTTTGGGGGCTGCCCCAACCCACGGCGGTGTGGTTTCGGGGTCTTCGGGAGTCTCCGTAAGGAAGTATTCCTGCTTGGTATTCCCAGCCGCGGGGTCCTCCAAATAACAGTCTGACTAGATATGTAAATGCATGCGGGCCGATTCGAGTCGACTGGGGCTGGGCGTAGGATGACATTTCGGAACCATGCGTTGAGTCGCTGCGCGCGGACGCCAGCCGTTTTGGTTTGCACAGCGTTGTGGTAGCCACGGAATTCAGATGAGCAGCGCCGAGGCTCTTCTGGGCGGCCCCACCCATGGGGCCCGAAAGCGTCCCAAGATGTCGGGCGGGGAACGCTTGAAGCTGCAGAACCAGCTGCCCCAGAAGTTCCTCGTGTACACGTTTGCCAACCATCAGCCGATCGTGCACGGCTTCGTAGAGCTGTCAGAGGCTCGTGTCTTTTAATGACATCATGGGGTCAGAGGGGATACGACATCAGGGGGTCAGGAGTCAGGAGGATAAGTCATTGGGGGCACTTCGTAAATGTGAGAGCTGCAGTCTTACACTGAGCGTGAGATGGGGCCATGTGGTAAGAGGATTGATGGGTCATTAAATTTAAGCGTGCGTATCCTGTGGCGACATATTCGGGATCCTGCGGTTAGCGAGGTCGCGTCGAGGCACGATGCTATGATGCTATACTCGTGCCATGCCTGCTGGGTCCCGCCGTTCCCAGGTGTGGTCGTGGGGCAAGGGCAAGCACGCCTATTACGCAGAGGCCCAGCGCGAGGCCCAGGCTCTTGCTGATTCGACTGATGTGTATGTTTGGACAATATCGAAATCGAAAGCCTTGAGTCGCCCGATAATCGTCAATTGTGAGATGAGTAAATCATGGAAGCAAGTTGCCCACATTGACGTATGCGCCCCGCTCGTTCCGTTCTTGGCAGAGTGTGGCATCACATCGCATAAGGTTCGTGCGTGGCGTGTGCACGTAGACTTGGTTCGACCACTTCTGACGTCTGGGTGGAAGCATGTTGTCACGTGCGGTCAGTATTCAGTCGTCTGCCGACGTCCCACTTGCATGTGAGCCAGCGTGCGTGCTCTCAGCCAGATGCGCGTGCACACGTGCATAGTAATGTCATCCCATCGGGGCGGGGGATTGGGCAGGTGAAGTTACCAGGCTGGACGCCCGGCGCCCCCTGTACCAGGGGGCTGCGGATCTTCAACAAGCAGGGGTTCAGAAGCCTAGCGCGTCTTTGATTATACCAGTGCCTCGATGGGGTTTTGCTGACTCGCCAGGGTGTCTTGACGGGGTCACGGTTCTGCAGGATGCACCCTGCGAAAGAGTCGAAGTCATCCAGCGCGGAGCTGTTGGCTATCGGTTTCGAGGGGAAGTTCTGTTGCACTCCTGGCTCATACACGCAGACCTCCGCAATGGCAAGATCGGGGTTGAGGCAATCGTCCGGCGCGTCCTGGAGTTAGTGGTATCCCCTCAACAGAAAGCAGATATGGAAACGAAGATTGCGAGTGGCGAGCTTATCCTGCCTCGCCCCTCTCTGCTCTACACAGTTGATAACAGACTCAACCTAATAGACTTGCTGTGGCAACGACAGTTGCATTCAGGGTACGAGTTCGAGAGACACCCATGCGCAGATGCGTCGCCACTCAAGGGCTACAACTTTTATTGCGTGATCGAAGCCCGCATGTCATGGCAGAAAGGATCTAGGTCAGGCCCGTCCTCTGCGGACTTGCTCGAACACCGTCACCTCGCAATTACCACGTTAGGGTACGGGAAGGGTTCGGAGGTCATGAAAGCCTTAAACACGCAACATTCGATGGCCTTGGAATGCGGCTCCTGGCCACGTTTCACCAAGATGCGTTGGGAGGTGTTCACCTGGACATCTGACCAGGGCTCAGGGTCGAGCGAAAGCCCCCCCCCCCCGCAATTCATGGTGGCAGGTTTGTCCGTTGCAAGCAACTTTGCAAACCTTTCGGCCCGATGGTCGCCCCCTGGGGGCCTCCCGCTTGAGCTCCCCGCCCTGCGCGCCCGCCCTAGGGGACGAGAAGGCCGTCGTGGACGCGCCCTGCTTGCTCGGGGAGGGTTTCTCCGACCTGGGCGAGGTGTTCCGCCGCGTTCGGCTGGGCGCCTGCGACTTGAATTCACCTGCTGCCCTGGAGGCGTACTGTTTCCCCCGCGCCATCTACATCCCAGATCATCTTCACATATTGTTTAATGGATTGGAGGAGAGCGTGCAGGGGGCTAGCAGACTGGAAGGCCCTTGAGAAACACTTCAAGGCGATAGCCACATTCTTGAACAGCACTGCGTTGAGGAACAGATTCGCGGCCTTGTGCGTTGGCAAGCGGGATGGCCATTCGCTGTTTAGGGCCAAGTCGGTGGGGGGGACTTTCAGCTGGCGCTGGGAGTATCTTGAGCAGTTCACTCAGAACGTCTCGCAGTTGCTGCCATTCCTCATTAAGTATTTCAATCGCCAGACCGTGTCGACTGGGCCAGACATGGGCAAAATTGATGCCGCCATCCTCTCTGAGGTTGAGGAATAGGGATGCCTAAATGAAGGGTGGGCTGTCGAGTGCGCCTTTGCCCCGTTGGCTTCCCCTCCCTCCTCCTCCTTCCTCCTCTTCTTCCTCCTCCTTATGTTCCTCCTCCTCCTCCTCCTCCTCCCTCCTCCTCTCGCCTCCCCCTCCTCCTCCTCACGTGCCTGCCCACGCATCATGATTGCATTGCCCGCGTGCCCCGGCGCCCCCAGGACGCGCTGAGGTGTCCGCGCGTTGACGGCTACACGAGGTTGTTGCAGATGGTCGCCGCCCAGCTCAGGAACGAGGTGGGGTTTCTGGAGGGGTGCCCATGCCATGAGGTCCTGCTTCGGGATCGCACGAGAGGGCGCGTCCCCCTCAATCGGCTGCCCAAGCAATGCCAACGGAAAGGGCGGAGGGCCTCGGCGATGGCGGCTGGCAGGGCAGACAGCATAGTCCAGCGGGTGATGTCGCGCAGCACCGCTGAGTATCGTCGCTTGATGATTGGCGCAACCCCAGCCTTGAAGGGCACCCTCGGCCATGCCGAACTTCAGCTCAAGTCGAAGCTAGCAGAGGTCACCAAAATGAAATTTGACTTCTGGCAGCGCCCTCCGCATGTGTTCTGCGCTGCGCTGGCGTACAAGCACGAGGCAATCCCGAAGAGCGCGTGCAAGGCGCAGGTAGCGCAGGGCCTCCGCGAAGTTGACGAGGCTGTCAACGCAGGCAGAGTTGGGCGATACATCGAGGGATGGGAGGAAGGGGATGGATGGAGGAGGAGGAGGGCGGGGTGGGGGAGGGGGGAGGGAGGATGGGAGGGAGGGAAGACGGGAGGGAGTAAGGGGGCCCCTCCTGCCTCGACTCACCCGAGGGAGTGCGAAAGGGAGGGGGCCCGAACGTCTCACTCGAGGGTGAGTCGTTCGGTCCCCTCTCCCCCTTCTGCCTAGTCCTCGGGTGAGTTGTTCGGTCCCTGGGGGCGCGCGAGCAGCTAGCGTGTGTGCGTGCGCGTGCATAGATTGCGCCTTCTCACCATCTGTCGTACTTCGTTCCTGCCTCCTTAGAGGCATACAGCATACGCTGCATCGCGTGGCCGTATTCCTCGCGGTAGGGCGTGACAACCCCATCAGGGCGGAGCTGATTGCTTTCGCCGCAGATCGAGATTCGGAGCTCGGGCCCGTTGCCACAGGTGTGCTAGGGAAGTATTGCAGGGGCAGCCTCGTCAGCAGGAAAGTGGAAGCCGCCCACTCGCTCGTGAGGCGGTGGCAGAACAAAAAGCCGCGGATGATGCCGAGCACCATCACCACGAGAGTGAAACAACCCGAGATCGTCGAGAGGCTAGCCAAC